CTGCAGGCATCCATATTGGGAGAAGCAATAACAGGGAAGGGAATCCTATCACAACTGAATCTGGAAACTGGGATTCCGATTTATGAGGCTGAGCCCCTTCTACTCTTCTTCATCCTCTTCACTCTGCTTGGAGCTATTGGAGCTTTGGGTGACCGGGGACGTTTTGTCGATGAGCCCACTGGACTTGATAGGGCTGTAATCCCTCCTGGCAAAGGATTCAGAACAGCATTGGGCCTTAAAGAAGGAGGTAAACTTCATTTCCATACTGCAGCTTAGTTATTACATATTGATTATCCTATTGCAAGTATGTCCAAAAGCAACTTCAAAGAAGTTTGACTTACATTTGAACAGATTTTTGACCAATGGAGAGTATAAGAACAAGTTTGGAGGGATTTTTTCACCAAAGTTGGGTTTTTATCCCAAGTTGCTAACTTCTTCACTTCCAAAAATGCTCCCATGTTTATTTCAGCCTCTACAAATTCCCAACCCCACCTCCCCTGGGCACAAAATGTACTGTGTTCTAGTTAGGTAATTTTCCGATATATCTCTCACATGATTAGCTGAAGGAGACAACTTTCAAAGCCACAAGGAACCAAATTTTCATGTAAAGAGTAGAATGATGTACGCGGCTCTGGCCATTGCAGAGTCTAAATTGGTCATGATCCCATGTGTGGAGATTGTTTCTTTGACTCAAACCGTGATGCCCAAGTCATAGAGGAGCAACCAAACACAAAAACAATGTGTGTATAGGTGCACATAGGATGAGGGGGAAGTATATTCTAACAATGCTACTATTTGTTTGTCAGGTCCGCTATTTGGATTCACAAAGTCGAATGAGCTCTTCGTGGGAAGATTGGCTCAGTTGGGCTTTGCTTTCTCTCTGATTGGAGAAATTATTACAGGAAAGGGAGCTTTGGCACAACTAAATATCGAGACTGGTGTTCCAATCACTGATATTGAACCTCTTGTTCTGTTAAATGTTGTCTTCTTCTTCCTTGCAGCCATTAATCCAGGGACTGGCAAATTTGTGACAGATGAGGACGAAGAGTAAATATGTTTCTGTGGGACTCATTAGGGTTTGTGTCCACTTTGTAGTTTTTTCGTGTAAGATGTAATAATTTGCAAATTACTCAACCCATGATTTTACTCTTTGATTTGGTTCCCCATGACCTCTTTCTCTTTCATCTGCTTTCCCATAACCCATCTCTCCCTCAAATCTGTGTGCTTCCATGTTTTGTTTTCTCACTTTTTTCGGCCTATTAAACACATATATGGTCTCACTGACTTGCTTAAATGAAATAAAATATTAACCAGAATTAAACTCATTTTTTTCAATTTATTAAACACATATTATATATATATATATATGTATTTCAGTATATAGTCTACGAACCACACTAGTGTACCTAGTCCACGACCTGGGTAGTGGGTCTCCCTGCCTCGCTTAAATGAAATAAAATATTAACTAGTATTAAACCCACTTTTTTCAACCTATTAAACACATATATGGGGTAGTGGGTCTCCTTGGCTCGCCTAAATGAAATAAAATATTAATTAGTATGAAACCTATTTTTTTCAGCCTATTAAACGCATATATTATATATATACGTATTTCAATATAGAGATATATATCATATTAACTTTCTTCTTACAATAGAAGTTCTGGACAATATTCAAAAGTGTATGAAGTTTCTGCTTTATTCGATTATACAGATTTGAGTGAAATAATAGTCAATAGGCTGGATTGTTGTATTTTGAGGACGACGCGCTACTACTTTCTGCACTATGATTCTTTCATAAAAAAGTGCAAATCATCTTTAAGAAAGTGACCTAGTCCGCGCTTCACCTTACCGTTCACTTTATTTGCATCCAATTTTTTCCAACAACCAATCATTATAGAAAATTTAATTCTAATAGTAATACATATTCTCGAGTTAATTTATTATTGTCTAAATATAATAATTCACGATTTATGAATGCGATTTTCATTGACGGAAAGTAAGAGTTCTTAATTTTTGTTATGTTTCAGTCGCATCTTTTTTAAGTCAGCAAAATTAAGTGCTTAAATCCCCATAGATGATGGAGGAATCTTCGTAATTGCTTGAACCTTTCAACATTCTTTAATTATTCTTTTATACTATGACATATATTCCTTTTCCTTTCGCTCCATCCTAACCAAAAAGAATTAGCCATAAGTATCAAAATTACATCTTTTTCCCATCCAATCACAAGAGGAGAAATAAAAAGTTATGTTATTTTATTATTTTAATAAGCAATGAATCTATAGTGGAAGAGTATTCATTTTCTCTTAAATTTATCTATTTCAATCTCTTTTATCTTCCACATCTTTTTCTTTTTAATAATGTGTGTGCACGCTCCCGGTATAAATAAATAAAAAATTAAAATTTCTAGCAGAGAATTATTTTTTATTTGATCATAATTCTCTTTTTATACCACAATGTCATAACATAATAATTATCCATAATTAAAAGCCATGGGAGGAAGAAAGCCCATCCATGATTAAAGTTTTGGATGGACAATCACCTGAGAAAGGACACGTGTCTCTAACCACAGCACCACCATGTACCTGACCCCTCTAATTCACTCTCGTTATTAAACATTTTATAAAAGCGAGACTTATATTCAGACCCCTCAGGTTTATCACTTAATGTCTAAAGTCCCCTGACATTTAAAATATTATATATAGACTCTTAAAATTTGTATGTGCATAACACTTAGACCCCTAATATAAATATATCTGTTAATAAATTATACTTAAACCCATATGAAGTTTGTAGATAAATAATATTTAGATCTTTTAAGTTTAAAAAATTATACTTAGACTAAAAATACTTCAATCAATGATAGAATATCAAATATTTTAAATATTACAATCAAAATTCATGTTCTATTGTATTATTTATTGAAATAAAATTAATATTAAAATTTTAATTTTTTTTAAAATCGTAATTAATATACACTTATATTATCTTTTGGAATAGAACTAAACAATCAAACAAGAAATCTAAGTCTTTCATAATAAAACATGAATTTTATAACAAAAATTCATGTTCTATTATGTCATTTATTGAAATAAAATTAAAAATAAAAATCTAGATTTTTAAAAAAAAAATTATAGTTAATATATAATTATACAATCTATTAGAATAAAACTAAAAAAAATAAACAAATAGTCAAACTGTAATGGACATAATATATTTTATCTTTAGTTGGGGTAGTTGGTATTTTAATTTGGTGGTTTAAACGACCAAATTAAATTCCAATAAACAATTTGTATACTAATTACGATTTTTTAAGAAAAAATTAATTTTATTTTAATAAATGATACAATTGAATATGAATTTTAATTATAAAATTTAAAATATTTGATATTTTATCTTTGATTAAAATATTTTTGGTCTAAGTATAACATTTTAAACTTAAAGGGTCTAAATATTATATACCTACAAACTTCAAAGGAGTTTAAGTGTAACTTATTAACAGATATATTTACATCAAGGGTTTAAGTGTTACGTGTGTACAAATCTCAAGAGATCTGTATGTAATATTTTAAATATCAAGGAGTCTGAATAATTAAGTGACAAACCTCAGGAGGTCTAAGTGTAATTCTTCCTTTATAAAAATACCAATGATTTGTGTGTTTGGGCCACCGACATCGTCTCAAAGGGTAAAATTATACTTAAATCCCTTTAAATTTGTCACTTAATCAAATGGATGCTGTCTTGTTTGCAAGATATGCCCCACCCGGAAAGGCCAGTAACAGAAAGGCCAAAAACACTGATTTGCTCATAATTTTTAGGAAGACAAAATCTATGCATTTCACACCACCTACCCATAACTCTTGTCAAGCACACCACCTCTCTCTCTCTCTCTCTCTCTCTCAACTTTGGTAACTTAGAAATTTTGGGTTATGGTCGATTTAAGTTGTTTCAAATTTGGTGGGAGCTTGGGAGATATCTGTGCATTTCACACCACCTACCCATAACTTTTGCCAAACACACCACCACCGTTTCTCTCTCTCTCTCTCTCTCTCAACATTGGTAACTTAGAAATTTTGGATTTTGGTCGATTTAAGTGGTTTCAAATTTGGTGGGAGCTTGGGAGATTGGGTGTGGGGTAGATATGGATGCTGGTCGTGTATGGTATGTGCACAACGATGTAGTAGTATCGAGGTGCTATGCATGTATGATGATAGAAAATTATCGATTCTAGTGATAAGGCTTAGACGGTGGTAGCTTTGAGAATCGTGCGAGGTTTGGATAGTAATAATAAGATAATGTAATGTTTATATCTATCTAAGTTATGATTTACATCTGTCCAAGTTATGATTCTAATTATTGATACAAAAACTTGGAATAATTGATTTTGAATAATTATGCATCTTATGGTATGTTTGTTAGTTTATCTTACGTAGATTGTTATTTTGTATTTAGAATTTCAATTTTCTAGTTGAGTAAAGGGTTGGGGGTTGGAGTTGGGTATAATGGGTTAGCTGTCAACTAAAACCTGGTATTAGCTATCAAACTAGAGGGGTCTATCTGATTATATGGAAAACTTGAGGAACCTAAATGCAATTAACCACTAGAAAAAATTACTAATAATATGGACATGACGTCAATGTCAACCCACTGTCATTTTAGCCTCCACTGTCGTAGATTCCCATATATCCATCTGTTCTCTCTCTCTCTCCTTCTTAGCAATCTCCTAACAAACACCTCTCTCTCAACTGCATCGTTCAAAAAAAAAACTGCATCGTTTTCGATCTAACGCTAGGTTTTCGGTAACGGTCAACAAATTCCAGGCGCCACGTTCATTCTTCAAGCCACTTTGTCCTGTTATTGATCAGTCGTCGTCAGTTAGTCACTAAACTGTCACTTTTTTACTTTTCCAATATCATCTCACACCCTCAATATCTCCGCCGCCGTCATCCTTCAGCGCCACGGTGGACGGTGTTTCAGGTGAGGCAAGATAAACCCCAGATGGAGACTTCAAACGGTCATCTCAACAACAATCTCCACTACCCTCCTTTTGCTTCTCAGAGAGACGTCATTTACAGGTCCACTCTCTCGCACTACGCAACTTTTAAATCAATAATTTTAATTGTCATGCCCTTGATTTATGTGTGTGTGTGTGTGTTTGTATTATAGGTGTTGTGGTAGTTTTGCAGTTGAATGATAGTGGGGCCAGGCAAAGGAATCTGATCTTGACCACTGGATTAAGTTTCGATAGTACTGATTGTACTGTTGTCTTTGGTGTTTATCTTGTTTTTTGTTTCATCTTTGAAGATAATTGGTAACTAATTAGGGAAGATTTTGGTTGTTCTTGATAAATTGCTTGGTGGTTTGGGGCTGTTTGGAAAATTCTTCAGGCGAGTTCTGTATGCATTCAATTCCAAAGTCGTCTTAGTGTCAGGAGAAGTTTGTTTGCAGAGTAATTGGATTAAAACATGGAATCTTATTATATATTTATATTGCAATGGCTTATATTCAGAACAAACGGATTCTCAAGATTATGCTCTCAACCAGATCAATGGCACTGAAAATCAAAATGCACGACAATAACTAAACAGTAAACAGAAAGTATAAAAAGAAAAAATTTGACCATACTAGATGCTATGTGATGAACTCCAGAACTAGTGATAGCACCCATATCCCAGTCCTGAGCTTCACCAATCAAAAAAAGAGGTACGGTCTCTCAGATCTAACAATTAAACCAAGCTAGAGGAAAGACTCATTTTCTTCCCATGTAGATAAGTACGCCTGTGTACATAGCTAGCGTGAACTGTTATACGTGCCACAATATCGAAGAGAGGAATTGAACCAAAATCCTTCGAGATTGATGCCCATAAAGATGCCAAGAAGTAGATACGATTCCATAAACCATCAACCCACTCATAGGCTCATACTTATTTTCAAACATTCTTGCATTTCTTTCTAACCAAATCACCCAGATAATAATTAGCTCTTCAAATCCCACAAGACACCAGAAAAAACAAGTGTCCTCAAAGTAGAACCATTGCCATCTGATTGAAAATGCGGTGATCGCCAAAAGCCATAACTTGGCCACGGACATTTCACATTTGTTCCAAATTTCTTCGTTTAAGTGGTCAAATACGCAAATTTTGTTTATGCAAAAATTTTAGTTAGACCACTGGCTGTTTTGCCTTGATTATAGGTGTTAATATTAAAAGCATCCATATTTAATTTGAATTTTGCAATTTTTTGGTAATTTTTTTTCTTCTGCTTAATTGTGTGTTTTATAAGAATGAGGGTTAGTTCTTCATAAAAAAGACAGTAAGCCGCGAAGAGAATTAACTTTTGATTAATAAAATTTGTATTTGGCCTCTTAAGAGCTTCTTTCATTGTGGTGGATTATAGCTCGTGTGGATATCTTTGGACTGATAAATATTATGGTTAATGCGAATGAGGCCATTATCAAGAAGGTAAAACATGTAGAATGGTGAGACTGAGGAAGCTTGAGTTGAAGCGTAAACCAAGGAAAACTTGATAGCAAGATAGAGATGGAATTTGAGGGCCCCAAGAACAGTGCCATGACTTCAACTTACCTTTTAAGATGCAAATATACTATATAAAGTTTTGTAATTATATTCTTTTCAATGGATAATATAGCAGGTCGAACAAATGTTAATAGCTAATATATTGAATTATTGATAAGGCTAATATAATGGTAATATAAAAAATTATTAGATTTTATGTTAGTAAAGACATTGAAAATAAATTATTCATTGATGACAAACCTAATCCCTAAAAACAAAAGTGGGGCCTTAATTGAATATTGATATATAATTATGGTTTGCAATTTTAAAAACAAAAGTAAGCTTGATTTGACCTTGGCCTACAATTTTTTCTTGGGGCCATGAAAATAAAAGTGGACTTAACTGAACAAGGAATTAAAATTTTAGTTGAGACATGCAAACTAAATTCGGTTTAATTTGACTTGGGTCTAATAGTTTTATTCGAGTTACTAAAAATAGAATCAAACTCAATAAAACAGTGGTTCAAAATTTTTATTTGGGACCCTACAAGTAAAATTAAACTTAATTGAACCTGCACCTAAAAACTTTATTTGAGACTATAAAAATTTGGGGCCCTAGACAGTGGCTTCAATGGCATCGCCATTGATCCGGCCATCTTAGATGAAGCATGGGTAACCTCTATTTATAAGAGGCACATTTAGGAGAAAAATGATCACTAAGAGGAGCGGCCATGTACATAACATTAGCCTCTCCATGGACCCAAAATCTCATAGCTCAATGGTGGATAGAATCTAAGAAGGGTTCATGACATGGAGAGATTGCGCCATGAACATACAACAGGTTGCCCACGGTAGCCCCCCAGTACGCCCCTAGATTTCAACCAATGTTCTTCCACACACGGCTTTTTCATTATAACTTTGATGAACATCCTTCGTGATTTTCTTGTCTGGCCATCTGAAAATTGTTTAGCCAAATGATTGTAGGCCTAATTTATTGTAAGGATCACTTAATATCTTATATTCCCTACAAAGGAATTATCATATCGCTTTGCTCCCCCAAGATTCATAGTTGGCCATCATGTCTAACCACTCATGCAAAGACACATTAAAATGTAGGATGTAACATTATAGAGATGCTTCAAAAAATGCAAAAATTTACAAGAATAATAATAAGCACTTGTATGGCATGAGACCAAAGCAGACTAGTTTTCATAGCTTGACTAACCCAAACTTCTTTTAGCAGGTCGAGGTATAATAGGCTAATCCCAACACCCATGACGTGATGCCCATGGCATAACCTAGAAGTTTCCACCAGCTCCCAATATGGCATACTTCAGAAAAGTTAGCCACTTTACAAGTCCAAGTTGTAGGTTGAACTTACTTGTAGGAGGGGGGCCGCTCAATGTCATATCATCTTTTGAAGTAGCAAAATCTCTAGTTTTCAAATGTGATGCCAACATCTAGAGGATTGATTCCTTCTTCACTAGATGTGATTCATAGTAATGCCTAGATTTGATTCCTATGGTTATCTTACCTTCCCTGTTTCTATATATTCATCTTATTCCTTCAACAATTTTTAAGCCTGTTTAGAATCAGAGCCCTATCCCACATTCTTTGATATCAAAGCCCAGAGCCCTCTTTGCTGCATCATAATCATTTGTAATGGACCAAATGGCTGACATCTCAAGCATTATGCTTAAAATATTACATTTTATAGAACCTAAAAATGCTTACATATTATGAAACATTGAAAAATCATAAATCCATCAATTGCCTATTTTTGAGAGGGGTTCACCTTCAATAAAATTGAATTGCAAGAAGTCCCTCCAAATTTGAGTAGTGCTGGCATGCGGCTTGTGAATGATCTTGTTTTTTTTTTTACCAGATTGTAACTCTTAGTAGTGTCGTTGTTTTGTGACTGGTGTATGGATGTCTTGTCCGTATTACCATTATGCTCTATATTTTTCATTTACATAAGTAAAATTTTTGCCTTCTATAAAATAAAATTATTCTGTGAAGTCTTCTGCCACCTCTGGTCTTGTTGTACATGAAGCCTTTATCAATATGAAACTTTAATATAATTAGGAAAAATGCACAAAAAGAATAAACACAACGAGCGCAAATTATGCATGACTTGGCTTGGTTTCAAAGTGGGACTGACTTGTATCATTTTTCAATCTTTAGAAATTTTTAATTAGTTGTGTGACTTTAAATTGTCATTTATGCTTATAGTCCAGTTTGTCCCAGTCTTTTAAGCCAAACTTGGACTAAGACAACCGATCACCAAGTTTAATTGATCTTTAAGTATTTTTTGGTCTTTAGTCATCTCTTTCTCTCTCTCTCTCTCTCTCTTCTTTTAGATAAAAGAAGAACGAGTGACAATCTTAAGGACAAGATATCCTCAAAAAAGAATAATAGCAAAATACTTATCAAAGAAAAGTCGTAAGGAAAAGAGTTAACATCGCCTTCCAATTCGTTGGCGATTTAACAAAGGCAAGCCACTAAAATTTTTTGTGGCTTTGGTCCAAAGTGAAGTCATGAAAAAAAAAATTTCCCATATTAATTCGGAAGAAAGATAATGATTATTGAAAATTCTTGCATTTCTCTCCATTACACCAAAGAATTTCCACGAACACAATTTCATAGTACCTTTGCTTCCTCTTTAGTTCCAAAAACCTCAAAACTTAATTTGCCACATCTTTTTCATAGTAGAAGGACAAATCCAAGCCTCACTAGTCACCTGGAATAAAGTATTCCACAAACCTCATGCAAATGAGCACAAACTAAAAAAATGAGCATTTGACGCTCCACTGCTGAAACAAGTAAAATAAATATGGAGGCTCAAATATTTATAGGGCTTTCGTACCCGCAACAAATTATTAGCGTTCACTCGATTAAAAACGATAGACCAAACAAAAGCCTTGATTTTTTAGGGGACTTTAACTTTTCAAATAAATTTGGCTAAGGAGAAATACCCTTCTTTTTTAGGGCTAACAAGATATGAATAAAAAGATCTATCGGAGAAAATGCTTGAATTATCCTTGGTCCAAATTCTATTATCATAAGAAAAACAAGGGTGGAAATTATAGAGAAGGTGGAGCAAAGAAGTTAAATCAACTGCTTCTCGATCGTTGAGATTTTTAAAGAAATGAAAATCTCAAGAGTGAGAATCTGTCTCCACAACAAGAAAAGTAGATATAGGAGCCTCGCGTGCTAGAACAAATGATGAAGGCATGGAAAAACATTATTAAAATATGAATCCCCAACCCATATATCCTTCCAAAATAGAACTTTAGAACTATCTCTAACTTTATACCGAGTCAAAGGAAGAAAACAAGGGTTAATCTATGAAATGAATTTCCAATGACTCATATGAGTTACATTATATCCTCATTTAGTATCTCACCCATTCCTCTAAGGGCCATACTTACTCCTAATTACTTTATGCCAAAGGGAGTTAGGTTTGGAACCTTCATAACCATTTACCTATTAGGAAAATGTTTTTAAACACCAAATTACTGAATCCCATCTCCCTTTGTCAAATTGTTTCCCAACACACTAAATGAGATGCTTGTCATCTCCCATCTCAAACAAAAAATAATCCCTCGTCATCTTTTCTAATTTCCTAGCTACTGCTACGGGGATTTGAAATAGAGACAAATATTGTAAGGGGATCAAGCTTTTACCAAAGTAATCCATCTTTCAAGAGAAAAATATGTACTCTTCCAACATCCAATCTTTTGTTAATTCTTTCAACTACCAGATCCCAAAAAAACAATGATCTCAGGTTTCCCCCCCAATGGTTACCCTAAATAAAGCAAAGGCCATTCATGAACAACACAATCTTCATCTAACTCAAATTCTTTGATAACCTCATCCTCCAAATTAATCCCTATAGCTCTGCTTTTAGAGATATTTACTTTCAAACCTGAGAGTTTGTCAAATATTTCAATTGAGAAAGGACAACATTTTGAAAACACTCCCTTTTATATGACTAGGAAAAATAGTGTCATCAGCAAACAACAAATGTGACACAGGTACACTCTCACTGCCTACTCTTTCATCTTTCTCTTCGAATGTGGGATAAGCCTAGACTTTTTCTTTCTATGTCGTAGTGAATTACCAAAGAATCTAGGGTGGGGCCTTTGGCTTTCTTCTCCTCATCTATGTTTTCTTTGTTTTCAATTTCCAGCCCTTTGTAGGTTTAAGCCTATGATCAAACCGAATGCATTTCTGGTTTCCCTTAAAAACTTAGTGAACATGTGTTGAATGTAGTTAGGAGTTTAGAACTACTCGATCAGATTATTCCTAAATAGGTTTTGGTATTACCAACGTACTTTGCTTTGAATGACAAATGCACTCGAGCTAAAGGCTAAAAGAAGCATAATTGATTCATGCTAACTGCTCTTAGTAATTGAATGAGAACCGTGGTTTTAGGTGGGTTATGAACATACCAGTTAGGATATTATGATCATGCACTTCTGGTTCTTTTGTTTTACTTTTTGGTGGTTTACAGCGACATGATCGGTTCTCGACTCCTCTATTCTTCAACTACATATTATTCTCTTTCATGCAGTTGTGGTGCTTGCGGATATGACCTAAACCTGAACTCCTCTACTCGCAACACTTCCACTATTGGTTCGAAATATGGAAAATCGATGAAGAAAGGGATCATATCATTCCTCTACATTGATGAGAGCAGATTTACTCAGGCTGACGAGTTCCAATGTGTACCATCCTTCATCTCCAAGCACTTGCGTGGTTTGTTCCGCCGCAGAACCAAACTTTTGTGTCGGAAGTGTGGTAACCATATTGGAAATGCTTATGATGATGATACATCTTACCCACTTGTAACAGACGGATCAGATTCAGCCTCGGGCAGTGAAATCTCTACTCACAGAAAATATGATGTCAGAATCCGCGCCTTGCAACCTTCCTCTTCTGTGGAATCTGGCCTTCCACTCGCCGTGTAACGTTCGAGTGTGCTTTGTATGTGTCCTGTGAATAGCCTTTGGCCTGCACTTTCAGTGTGTGATCATTTCGTAGCATCAACATCCAAGTCAAAATTTGTTTTGGGTGGCTATATATATCGATTTTGCAAGTCCTTTTTGATCTGTTGTGCAACTAAAAGCAACGAGGTAGAAATTTCACTTGGAGACTTGTGTACAGCAGCCCTCTATGTAACTTGACTTGATCCTCCCCCTTTGCTATTTATTTTCATGTATCTGTCTGTACATGTAACCGAATGTTCATTTGTACAGAGGCAGTTCCCAAAACAGAGTTTTGAATGAAGTTGTGTGAGTTCTGAAGGGTGATGAATTAATAAGCAGACTTAGGGCAGCCATTTTGGGCAAATAAAGTCAAACATTAGGTTTGTACCTAATTTATCTTTCCTAGACCCTTATTAATGGAGACTAAACTAGATGTTATTTATTTATCTTTCACTTAATGCAGATTCCCAGAAACCGGAAACTAAAAACAGAATTGTCTGTTCGGAAGGTATCTGATAGCTGAGCAGGGTTTTGGGTGAAATCTTTATGACATTGTCTCTTTGTTTATGAAATCATAAGCTTCCATTCACCGCAGTGCCACCACTGAAGGCATTACTAAACTGAATCACCATGTTTTACCTGATGCTCTGATTTGTTACTACAGTTAGGTGGAAAAGGACTTCTACCAAATTAGGGAATTTTGGCAATAAACTACAATGCCATACTCATCAATTTTAAAATGATTGTGGATAATTTTTGATTAGTGGGCTCCATAAACTTTTGGTAAATATCTAATTGTTGTGATTGTGACGACACATCATTTGGTACATGAATGTAGTTCATACATCTGTATTCGAAAATATCAACCTGAACATGTGCTCTGTTCATCTGGAATTATGAAAATGCTTAATGGCAAAATATGTACAGGTAGAGAGAGCAAGTTGCCTCACAGTCCCTTTTACCTGTAGTCATATATATGTTCTTTTTGCTTAACAGGTGTGTATTCTGAAAGTGAAAGGTAATCAGTGCCCTATTGTTAAATACTACGCTTGTAAGTCATTTTCCTGTAAAATAATTAGCTACTTGGTTATTGACAATATCCTTCGATTGTAAAGAAAAAAGAAGAACTGGATGTAGAAAATGCTTGAGAATTTGATCAAGAGTCCAAACTTTTGGCCAAGGAGATACTTTTTACCAAAAGCAGGAGACCCGAGGCATTTTTGTTTGGGCTACTGATCCTCTGGTGCACATTAGAGGATAATGTCCCTATAACAAATTCTTAGAATTCGTTCTGTGAACGATACAACATCTACCCCTCTAAACAAAACAGCAGGGGAGCTAGACTCTGTTTTTTTTTTTTTTTAACCCTAAAAAATGCGAAAACGGGCTTCAACCATTCCCCTCTATATTTGCAGTAAGTTATGTAACCACTACTTTTATTCATTTACATGAAATTCACTTTTAGTAATTTTTTTAAAAAGTATTCCCACCAACTTTTGTAATGTTTTTCCCATTGCGTTTGTTTGGTGAAGTTTTGCTGATATTCATAGCCTGCTAGGGAATGTAGGTGTAGAGATTGGTGCATGACCATATCCTGCTTGGGAGTCAAGTGGGAACTAAAGAGCTTGCCACTGATAAAGTCTACAAAACCTCATTACTGCAAACAATCCAAGTAGTTGTAGACTATAGTATATTTTACAATTAAACTAGATATTTGCTTTTTCTTTTTCTTTTTTGGATTGTATATTGGCCTATTCACTATAAGGTGGAGCAAAAAGAAATCTAATTTACGTTCTCCAAAAAAAATGGAATCTAATTTTTTTGAAATGCTGGATTATTGTTTAATATGATCTCGATTAAGGCATGATAAGCATGGAGCTTATAAAGGAAGGGAAAGATGACGGTACCAATAGACTGTTTCAAGTTTCGACTCAATCAGATGTGATTACGATCAAATGAAGTAGTTTCTGATCGAATATAAGGCCATGTTTGGTTAGCTTTTTGGAACTGTTTTTTATTTTCAAAATTTTAAAAATATTCAAAATCTGTTTGTTTAGTATTTTTGTTCTCAAAATTTTGAGAAAAAATGAGATTTGAGTCAAAAAAACAGAAAATAAGTTTAGCTTGTTTTCAGAGTATTTTTTGAAAATAAGGAGAACAATTTTGAACTTTAATGAGGGATGCCCTTCGAGTCTCCTTAGCAGCAAATTTCTTCATTCTTTTTTTTTTACTTCTTCCTCTCTCTCATAATATATATTATAATATATTATATTATATGTTATATATTAATATTATAATCTATTATATTATAATATGTATATATATATATATATAAAAGTATATATTATAATATATTATATATATATACATATATAATAAGTATATATTATATTATATAAGTATAGATTATTATATATATATGTATATAATAAGTATATATTATATTATATAAGTATAGATTATAATATATATATATGTATATATATATATAATGAAATTGTCAACATAAAATAAATTTTTTATATTTTTTTATTAATGTTTGAATTACTGTTCAAATCAAACAGGCCCTAAGTTTTCTCAAATTTTTTAGTTGCTGGGAAATTAAAAAAAAAAAACAGAAAAAAATAAGTATGTCTAGATTCTCAGAAACCAATTAAACAGAAGATAGTGCAAACCAGTGTTAAAGATGGACCCAAACGAATCACGCCGTGTGGACTGTTCCAGCTAGAAATGAAATGAGCAGAAAGGTGAGAAAAGAATGGAGGAAAAGCTTCAAGCGTAGGCCTACAAATGTGTCTAAAGTCTTGTCAGAATCATTTATCTTTTGCTTTGGAAGTCTGGACAGAGAAATTCCAACACCATCAAAGTGTGACAAAGCAATGTGCTTCTTAAAAGTTGTTTGACTTGGCCTTGCAAGAGGAGCCCTTTATTGTTTTAGCTACATTGATATCTTGATTCCTGGAGGGAGAGATAGGGTCTAGGGGTCCTCTCTTCCTAATCTTTTTCCTTTTCTCTTTTTCTTTTTCTCTTTCTCTGTCCACATTTTTTACAGTTGATTACACTTCGCCCCCTCAAACTATGAGGCATGTATCACTTTTCCTCGTCAATTACAGAATTTCTCACATTTCTCCCACAAACTATGTGAATTGGTTTTCTATTGCTCGAAATATAAATATCCGTCATCTTTTGGACAAAAGATTACCTGATGAGACAAAGTGAATAAAATTACGTAACTCAATGGACAAAGTTTTGAAATAACTTTTTCTTAAATTATTAACGGACGTTAATCACTGGGACAATATGAAACAAAATCACATAGTTCAAGAGGCAAAGTGACACAAAACTCATAGTTTTAGGGAAAAAAAGTATAATTAAACCTTTTTACGTATTGGGTATATTACGATTTATACATTTAAAATATGCAACTAATTCCTATTTAGTTCTTGGAATTCCAATTGTAGCTATCAAATCTTTTGAGTTTTGATTGAGTTTCAATTTAGTCTTTACATCAAACTGTACTAATTTATTATGACAGATTTCTTTTCCGTGACCAATACATTGCTTGGGCAAAGAGTTATATTTGTCCAGTGAAAAATCTTTTAAATATAGGATGAAAATATTATTTTATTTGTCTAAATTTGAAAAAAAAAAAAAAAAAAAAGATACTAGGAGACGCAGAAAAATATTGATATATTTTAGAAATGGACAAATATACCCTTATGGGCAAGTGTTGTTATGTCTTTATGTTGGAATAAATTATTAAATCTGGATGGAAGGACTGAATTAAAACTTTAGGGATCAAATAAAAATTATATGCATACTTTAAGGGTAAGGGTATAAATTACGCTTACATATTTTATTATCTTGTTTTTTATTTCTTAATCTAACATCTACATAGTTTTGTTACTTGAACTTAATTTGAGGACCTAATTTATCATTGTTGTTGGATTGATAGTGAATGTCAACGTTAATGGGGTCCAATGACAGTAATGGATTTAGTCTCAAAATTAGGTACGCCAACATTATCGATGTTTAATAAACTTGTACAAAAAAAATATATTTTTTGGGTTGGGGGGGGGGGGGGTAGGGGGTACAAGTAAAAACTACAACTACATATTTTCAATACTTACAAAAGACTAAAACAAACCATTTACGAGGTTTGCACTACACCAGCTTGGCTCATGATACATTATCATGCTTTTGGCCGTTATTTAAATCCTTTTCCATGGTATGTCACATTATGATAACATTTTTAATCAATAATAATGGAATGAGAAGGATGTCACTTCATACCATTTTCAACATATTCCATTGAGATAACGATAATCGTGGATCGACAAAGCTAGAATTAAATGAAAACAGTACCATTTGATCGAATTTTTTGATAATACATCAAATATTGTTCTCATTGTCAATTTGATGAAACAAAGAAAAAAAAACAATACTTTCAAAGGGTTATTTCTTCCCATGATATTGATTCTTTCTGCATAGGAAGATTACATTCTAATTTACGTCGTATGTTTGTTTCAATCACGGAGAAACAAATCAACCGACACCGTTACTTTCTTCTCTAATCAACCTCAATCTCATCATCCTGTCATAGTCATTAAGGTTATATGTTGTCTTAGAGACCGAAATAAAACCGAACTTAACTTATTTTCGATTTTTTCTTCTTCTTGGTGGTGTTCGAGTTGGGTGGGATTTAAGTCTTGTCATTTTCGTCCACCCCATTAGAAACTTTTCTCAACATCCATGGTGGTCCTTTTGATAATGGTCCCTTACCCTTAGCTAGAGCCAACACAGGGGACAAACAGCCCCACAAAGCCCCTCTGTTACAGTTTGAATGACACAACTAAACAATGGTCCCTTAGCCCATTTGCACATGCAAGCCAATGTGAATATGTGAGGATAAAATTGAAAATAATTATAAATTTTTAAATTGAAAAAAAATATTCTTAAGATCCAAATCATCTAGAATCATT